TAGCGCCAGTGTTTCATATCGTCCTCAACAATGTAAAATAAGAAGATGATGGCACGTTGATGGGGGTTCAACGGAGATTGAAATGTTGGATTGCGTGGATCATATTGTGGAACAGTACTCATAATTATACTCTAATCCTGAACCTGGGGCCAACAACGATCTTGTGGCACACCTATTCTTGAACCTAATCATGGAAATGTATCAGACACATGATCTATCGCTTCTTGAGCTAGCAAACGGGATATGCAACCAGATCGTTTGGTTACAAAATCATCTGACAAGGAATACCAGCAGCTAATGAGACTAGAAAAACATATGTGGCTCTGATTACGTCTCTGACGATACACCCCTTCTTTTTGCAGCCCGATCACTTGGGGCCTCACACGACTGTCTTCGTTTCCATATCGACATTGGTGGCGTCTTGTAAAATGCAGTGTTCAGGAGACCTTCAGACTGTTAGCAACGACTTCCAAGAGATAAGGGTCACGTACGCCAATTGGAGTCTTCGTCGACTTCAGGCTCGGTCTCTGAAACTTCAGTATCTTCATGATGTTGAGACTGGGATGCGTGTGGTTCCACTTCCCTCCAACCAAAGAGCTCGGAGACCAAAATCCGATACTCAGTCTCAAAATATTCTCTTCCTCGCACTTGGCTTTGTTTCTGGAAGTAGTCACAATGGGTAACGATTCAAGGCACCAAGCGCCTAGCATACCTGGAATGACGTGGTTTCCCTCGAATGATGGAGAACCGTCCCCGCTGAAATAACCGAAAATTCACTGACGTATGTTTCAGGCAGCAAGCTACAGACAATGGCGCATCTTATATCTACAGTCCAGAGTGCTGTCGCCTACAAGGGTAAAATCAAATTCCAGAATAGAGAGTACTTGTTCAAGTCATGGTTCTCAACCTCGACGTTACTGCGCAGATGCGACGATGGGTGCCCTCGGCGGGAAACTAGAGCAAGGCAATCCTTTCCATTGGTATAATTCATCAGTAACTCTATACGCAAAAGGCAGCGTAAATCACTTGTGCTGAGGTTCTTGAATGAAGCTTCACATAGAGCCATCACCACGGATAGCACCAATAAATCAACCGAAAACAGGCGCGCCTAATGGCCATCTCAAGTTCTTTTAGAAGGACCCACTGAATAATTCTTTAGAATTATTCAGTGGGTCTGAACGATTCAAATGCGACCATGATCCGTTGCTTGAATCCATTTTATTGGCCGTCATGATCAACAAGGTTCATCCTAACAAGGCGGCGCTTATTATTGGAGGAATTTGATGTTATAAAGGGTTTAAGGGTTAGCAATGGTGGTTAGGGAAGGATCAAGGAGTCCTGTCGACTCTATGCCGTCCACAAACTCGCGACGATCGAGCTGATCCGGGTCTCTTCTAGAGACAACGGCCTAACTGGCGAAGGGTTCTTCCTCGGACGACCTTTCACGAGGTACTAGATGCACACACAAGTAGGGGTACTTCAATAGCAGATGAGAATAACAACGACTAGGTCAGAGGCAACGCCTACTAGAGCTATACCGAAGTATATACCACTAGTAGTAAGAAGTCTTACTGACCCCCAGAGTAAGTATCTTAGTAACGAGTGATAATTGAATGAATTGAGCGCGAGTAGTAGAAGGCTAGATACATGAGGTTGAGCTCTCTTTTATAACTTCTGTTTTGGTCCTCCATCTTCTTCCTCCTATCAGTCCCTGTTGGACTTTCTCCTCGTGGTCCATATTGGACTTCCCTTCTTATCTTATCAATGGACCTCCTTGAGTCACGTGACCTTGTGTGCCTAACCCTTTCAGCCTTGCGGGGTAGTGTTTCATCCTGTGTCGCTGTGTTGGACAGCACTCCATTTTGTTGGCTCGTAACAATTTCCTAGGAGAACGACAAGAGTTAAAAACATTTAGCCATCCCTCTTCGGCACGAACTCAGCCCTCATCAAATCATCAGATTAACTGAATAAGCCTTTCTAGTAATCATGAGATGCGCTACATAGAGATATCTTCAAAAACCTTGATAATATCCATTATTATGCTGAACGTCTGAACTCGCAACCCACTCTTGTGTAAATGGGTGTGTGCTAACCTGCGCCGGAGGGAAATAGGGGTTTGATTGGCTGCGAGAGACAAGGAGAATCGGCCACCAAAGTACTCCTGTAGTTATTCTGGGAATTTATTGAATCAGGCTCCCGCAAGGCCCGTCTGTGCATCAACATAAGCACTCGTAGCCTTTTGCCTCCTCCTTTCCCCATCAAAAATGAATCTTACATCCGCTTTAGAGGTTCTTCGCGGTGCCGGCCGAAAAGAACTGGAATCTCACAGTGCCCAGACCATCCTCAGGATGCAAACACTTGTCCTTCCCAAGAACAGCCACCATGCGCAGAAGCTCAAGAAGGTGAAGATTCAGCTGGAGCCCACAGTTAAGTAATGCCCTTCAGTCATCTCGCAATTCGGTTGAGCCTGATGTCAGGCGAGAAGTATACCTCAGCTTACAGCAACAAGCCGGGCAGATAGATGGGAATCAATCCGTTCAAGTTCAGACTACATTTCCTCCAGACCAGCAAGGATCAGATCCACATCCGCAGCTGAGAAGTATGTCTTCGGGGCACACTTGGCACGATCTCCCACATCCAACGAATTCTATCGTGGCATGTTATCGCGGAGAATGGCAGATGAACGCCCCCCATTCACCTTCACAGCCATCAAGCCCGACGCGTCAAGAAAGCGAAGATCCTCACACTCTCGGTATCAACATCAGAGAGACTTCTGACATACTTGGTAATGGTCACGCTGAAGCGCAATATTAGGTATTTTTCTTTGACCATCTCAAGCACAAAGAAACTGCCAACAAAGAGGTGCAGGTATTATGCGAATATATATAAGATCAAAGTATGGAAAAGAAGTGTAAAAGGTAAAGGTGTTCTGTGAACATGGCCCTTTCTATCGTACAGTACATCCAGTACACACCATGGCAGTCAAAACAATCATCAATAACACATTGGCAAACAGAGGGCATGTCATTGGGAAGATCTTTCGATGAATTGGGAATGGCTGACGTCACCCACGGCTCCCGCACTAGCCCTAATTAGGGTTAGTTGGTGGGCCGATAAGATAAGGAGATATCGCATACCAAAACACATCTATCGTCGTATTATTCCTGCATCTCGTCATGATTATTGTCTTGGGGCATGTGTGTCGCTTCGTTAGTGGACGCTGACAACGATGGAGGGAAACTGTGTCCTAGGTCGGATATGACAACGGTACGTGGATGAGTATCACTCATGGGCATAGCTGCCTCGACATCGCGAGAATGTGAACTCTCTATCGCAGGCCGTATTCGGGGGAAGAGCGGGAAGGGTACTGCGCCGGTCAGGACTGATATATCCCACACAGTCAGTATCAGGTCCAATCAGGAATGATGCGAGCTAAAAAGATCTGTAGAGAGAGAGACTGTGGAAAAGGAAATAGTAGGTAGACCTCTGAAAAAGACACCCGCACGAGTATACATCCTCTCACACCCCTGTCGGGCAACACCGTACAGGGCAGAAAGACTGGGCATGGCCGCGACGCATTGAAGGAGGGTTTGCAGGATGGTCAGGGCAAGTTCAAGGTTTGCGGTCGACATGCTGACTGACTGAAATTTCAGCGAAGAAAGAGAGATTGGAGGGAAATAAACAATTGGATCTATCGAGTTGATGTCGAGCGAGGATGGAAAATCCAGTCCAAAAGTCAGCGAAGGTAGCATTTGTTCCATTAATAGAGGCGTGAGAGTGCTTTACAAAGCAGGTCAAATCGATAGATGATAGAGGGTGATCGATCCTGCGCTTTTTATAATAATCCATGAGATGTTGCGGGGGATGCAAATATCTGCCCGTAGTTTACGTCCTGAGAGGCGCCCCTATGATGAGCATAGCTGGGGTTACAGCTCAGTGCAGCCAGAAAAAAAAAAGGACTCGAACATAGCCTCTGCATGATCTCGGCGGTGGGGCTAGGCGTCGCTATCCGCAGGGCCGCATGGATATGTGTGTCACTTCTACCGCTGCAAAGGATTGGTAGGACCGTAGGACGCTTGTAGGATTCTCGCGGGCAAGGACGGGATCCATTTTGTTGGCAAATAGGCACCCTTTTCTGGTTTAGCGTTCCCCTCACACGAGCCAGCTGAATCGGTACTAACTACTAATGGCTTACCTGCGGCTGGAGCAGCCAGAAAAAAGCTCCGATCACCTACCGAGCAAAAATCTACGAGCACCCAGTCAACTAGCCTTCCGGTTCTAGTAGGTGAGCAGCGCCGCCCTGAGCTCACCTCATCGGAGGTTGGGGGGAGGGGGGGGGG